AACACTATAAGTAACGCTTGGGGACAAGCGCTAAGCTAGGAAGGGGATAGTGTTACGATGGTCTGCCACAATAGACGTCACGTGACCCCGACGCTTAGGTAACCGGATCAGAGGGATCATTAGTGATCCAGTTGATCGGATCAGAGGGATCATTTGTGATCCGACTGAGCACAGAGAACGAAGGTCTATATAAAGGAATGGGTTTCATTACAGTGTAGAGCTTCGTGCTCAAGAACAATCATTAGTTTCATTACTATAGTTACGAGAATTGCAACCAGTTACAACCTTATTGAATTCCTACTTGAAGTCTAGTCTAAACCACCTCGAGAGATCTCTAGACACTTCCACGTGACCCTAGAGGCAGCTCCCGTAACAGTACAATTCAAATTTCAAAACTTATTTGTATAAAAATTATATTCAAGCTTTATTATTTAAAGTAGATTTGTAAATAAATAAAAGATTATTAAGAATCTATTTAATAAATCCCTTATATATATTCTAATATATCAATCTCAACCTAAAAATACAATATATATTAGTAAATATAATATAAAGGAATTTCAAGAAATTATTATTGATATAGCTATAGTATAATAATTAATAGTAAATTATAAATAATATATAATATATAAGATAATAATTGAGAATGTTATTTTGAATATAAAAATAATAGAAGTTATAAATATAGTATTCGGAATTAATAAAGCCAAATCGATTAATTTAATATGATTAAACTTATTATTAAAAATCATTGAATTTTATATTATAAATATAGAAACATTATTTTTATTATTCTTTAAAAATATAAACAAACTTGACATATATTATAATAATATTCCTAATATAATTATTATAAATAATACAAAAGAACAATTCTCATATATCCATTATAATAAATATATAATAATTTATATAACAAATTATTATTAATAATATATATTATTTTATTAATATAGAATTACAATATCTATATTATTACTTCAACCATCCATTAACACATAAACTTTTACAAGTATTCTAATAAATTGACTATAATAAGATTATACAAACTAAGATTAATAAATTTATCAAGTTCTATTAATATTATTAAAAGTATAGAAAATCATTAGGTTAATTCAAATTCAATTTATAAGATAATATTGATTTTAATTATTCAATTATAATGGATATAATATATATCAATATTAATTTTATTCTATATATTATTAATAAAGATATATAATTCTAAGTAATATAATAATTAGACAACATTATTATAAAGTATATCTTTAATATACTTCGAAAATACTAAATAAATATCTACACTAACCCCCCAGATTATATTATATATAATATTAAAAAAAAAATTATTAATAAGGAATTTGTACAATATATAATAATTATATCAATTAAAATAAAGAATATGCCAATTGAAGTTTATTAATTAATCAAAGTTATTGAATATTATTATATAGTTATTAAACAAATGTACAATATTATTATTAACAAATTAGGAAGTTCTATAACAAAAGAGATAATATTATAAATGATTATTAAGACAATAAACAATATTACAAAATCAAATAAATTAGTTTCAATATTCTTAATATTTGGAGTATATCCACAAATAATCAACCTCGATTTACTAGCATCTACAATTTTATAATAACAAATTATAATTAAGAAAATAATAAACAAAATCAATAAGTTACAAACAACAAGATAGATATTAAATATATTGAATTAATACAACGAATTATTTATAATAGTGTTATACAATCTGCCTATTAACTTGAAGGTTTGAATATAAAGAGAATACAAAGGTTAAACAAATTCGTATTACTTATTAAAAATAAAAGATAAAATATATACTATATAATTAATAAATAATTCAACAAAATTTCGTATTATTTAAATCAAATTATATATAAAAGAAAAAAATTGACCTTAAAATCCAACTTTATAAAGAACCTGTTGAATTAGTATAAATAATAAAATTAATATAACCTGAATAATCTATTAAGGATATATAAAAGGTATAATTAATACAAATAATACAAAATATATTATAAAAGAATAAAAGAATAATTTTATTAAAAACCAACAAAATTAAACTAATTATTTTATTAACTATTATATAAAATAGAAATAAGGAGAAGATTCTTTTAGATTTGTTTTAAAAATCCTTAGTTTCTATAATTATTAACTCTTTAAATTATAATTTCTATATTAATAATCTTCTTTATAAACAAAAACATTGATTATATTAAATTTGAGGAATAAGCACCGAACTTGATATTTTACTTTCCAGATAATAATGAATTTAATGATATTGAGTATACAGACTACTTTATAGTATTTATTAATAATCTAATATTAATAATTTTCATTGAATTAAAATGAAAGGAGGTTAATAATTTAATGGAAAACAATGTTTTTTAGTTTGTAAAGATTATAAATGTACTTGAAAATATAAGAATATTTAATTTATAGTTTATAAATAAAATAAAGAATAAAGGAATTAATAAAGTATTCCTAAAATCTCGATTAGTAATATAAATATAAAAGAATTAAGGAATAGGTATTGTTTTGATATAGTCATTTATAATATAATAAGTCAGCCAACAAATTATACTATTAATAATAATTATACTCCTAAAGAATAAGATAATTATAAGTATTTGTAACATTATATAAATATATATATAATTAATATCGAATTTAGTTCAAAGGTTTTATATATAATTATTAATGAAGATAAATGTTCTAGAAGGTTTTATTCTATAAGTAGTATAATTATTATATAACATCTCAAAAATAAGTAATTATTGGTTTAGTATTTACTATAAATATTATATTAATATCCTTAAAATGATATAATTGATTTATAATCTGTATCTTCTATATATAATTAAAAACGATATAGTATTCAGTATTATAAAATTACAAATAAATAATACACTTATTATTATTAATAACGAATTTGTAGATTATGAATAAAAAGAACTTTATAATACTAAATTTATGGCGAAAAAGTACAAAATATTTATATTAGATATATTATTTAAGTTTAATAATAAATTGATTATTTAATAAAACGACGATATAATTTACTTTAATTAAAAGAATTAATGTGAAAACCTATATCTAATTAAATTAAAATTATTTAATATATAAGGAATATATAGAAAACTAAGAAAATTTATAATAGTAAAAGATTAATATATTGTATAATATATTTGAGGAATATATATTATAATAATGTATTAATTAGAGATAGCTTTTGATTTATCTTATATTATATAAATTGTTAATCTTAAGGGAGAAGATATTAATTCTTTTAATAAGTATATTCAATAATAGATTGATAATTTGGAGAAAAGCCTATAATTTGTTCTATTTAATATAGATTTTTTAAAATTGATTGTATTTATTAATATATTCTTTTAGATTAAATATATTATTGTTTTAATAAATAAGTATAATAAAGTTAACATTATAATCATTTATTAAATATAAAAAAGTTATTAAAAGTATATTAGTATTAGACCTTTATATTATGGTTTTAGGTTTTGATATTAATATAATAATTAAAAGTATAATCAATAAGATTTTTCTGAACTATAGAATCCTATTAGTTATATATATTAATTTTAAATCACTTTATAATTGTTTTATAAAATTTAAAATTATTAATGAAAAGAGATTAATAATTGATATAATAATGATTTAAAAGGTGTATAAAAAACAAAAGATTATAAAGATTAAATAAATTAATAAAGATTTTAATCTTGTAAATATGATAATTAAATTCAAGTTGTATTAAATTCTAAAAGATTTGATTAATAATAATATTATAAAGATTAAGGTTATAAAATAGATTGAAAGAGATTAAAAGAATGGGTGGTTATATAGACAAAAGAGGTATTAGTTAGAAGGATATGATTTAGCAATTCTAGAGAATTGTTAGTATTGGAATAAGGATTATATAATTATATTAGTATTGATGCTAGTGTCTTTTGATATTATAGCAATATGTTTTGTAATTTTAGTTTTTAAAACTTTAAGTAATATAACAATAGTGTGAACTATAGTATTATATTGACTTCACCATCCTCATGGTGATACCAACATAGATTATATATATCAACACATTTGTAAAGTAGACAACAGAATTGTTTTTGATTCTCGATCTTCATTGCCTTCTTTCGGAAACGTTTTCAACCCTCAATTACCAATCATTATGTTGATCCGATATCTCTATCGCACTTTACTATTCTTGATAATTCCAAATACTTCAGCTCAATCATAATCTGGATTCTTCATTTCCCTTATGATTCCCTTGATATCCTTCCTCATCCTCACTTCTATAATTGACTCCGTATATTATTCAGATAAGTATCATCTTTCGACTGGATATTTCGCTGCATATTTATCGCATCGTACTAGAACTCCACAATCTCATTCTCTTTCAAAAATTCTCATAAGACTGCAAATTGAACAGGGAAGCATATTCAAAGAAACTATTCATTTATACTATTTCTTTGGTCTCTAAGATATCTCCTAAATATGTTAGTTATACGCAGAAGAATTCAGCATTTCTACAAAGCTCAATGAAGAGATACACACAAACTATAGATACAATATATGGTGAAGATTATTTAAGAGTTAGAATACTACTTGTGATTTTTACACGAGGTTAAAGAAATTCACTGAGAGACACGATTATATTTATAAGTTTTAAGCAAAAGAAAATGTATTTAATTATTAAAAGGGGTGACTGATTTACTATTGTAATCAAGAAAAGTTGAAAGGGGTTTAGGAGTGGGGTTTTAAGCGAATGACCTATCCTGATACAAATCTCTCACTCGAGAGAGTTGATCCATGATGCTACTGTATAAAGTATCGTCTTCGATCTGATCTCGGAATACATCGATGAAAGACTCCTTTCTCGCATGGGTCCGCGACAGAACATTTGGGATAACTCTGCGCCAGCGCTTTGTCATTTCATGCTCGAAAACTCACTTCTCATCCTTCTCAAACTTCGACATCAAAGCCTGCACCCGCAGACCAAGTTTTCTACGACGAGGATGAGCACGGATTCGGTCTACGATGGCTTGAGCTTCGGTTATCTCATCAGCCTCGGCATCCTCTCCTTGTTCTTCCTCACGTTCTCTTGATACTCTCAGCGTATCAAGTCTCTTTGTTAGCTCATCGACCTCTGGTGGTTGTGGTTCCTGCATCGTTGCATCTGGCACGTTGTATCCAGGGGTCATGGGCTTACTATCAGTTGGCGGAGGCGAAGACTCACCTGGGCTGTCCGGGACTTCAGACTTATCGTGGGTCTCATCGCTGTCGTACCCGAGGCTGAGATTTTCTGACTTCTCGGTCACCTTGTCAACCTGTGGTGGTTGCGGTTCTTGCATACTTGCTTCTACAGTGTTAGACATCTTGGTGGATGGTTTATAGAGATTATTATGCTGATGCTTGTTTAGTTAGGGAAAATAAACTGAGGCTTGAGACCTGAGACTTGAGACTTGAATGAGGAGAAGACAGGAATCAAATTTTGCTCTTATAGTTAAGATTTTTCTATTGTTCATGAAAACATGAACTTAATCGAAACAATAACTTGATGTTAGACAAAGACAACAAAATTCTTTTTGGTGATAGGTCTTTGTAAATTGTCTGCTTGTTCTCTACTTCCTTTGTTGTATTTGTCTCCACCAAGAACTAATTAGAGCCCAAGAATAAAAGTACACAATCTGAGGATAGACAGATATCTTACTTTGTTGCAGAGTGCTCATACTACCTACCTATATAGAGTAATCGCATCATACGCTGACCTCACATGGTCGTCCAAATCACCCGATAATAGTCTTTGTGTTAATGTGTAGCCAGAGCCCATTAGCCAAGACTTAGTCAGACTGTCCTGTAGAATAGATCGGGAACAGCCATCATTGTTGTCCCCTCGCTGTAGCATCGTATATACTAGATTAAAAGGACTTATTGTTTTCACTCCATGCTACTGCTGACGCTCAGATATAGAGTAATAACTAACAATTTCATCCAAGTAAATTAGCCTCGTTGTCTAAGGGCCACCAAAATGAGATATCACAGTTCCCCGGGATTTGAAATTCGTAAATGAATGATTTCGTTTACCCATTCACAGGTATAATCTGACAGTGGCGTGAAACATGCATATAAAGGATTCTTCGAGGAAATACATATTGAAGAATACTAAAACTTGGTTTGCAGCGAATGGCAAAGTACGGCATGCGATCGAAGGATTGTGTCACAGTATGAGGTGAATACATGTGAGCTTCAATCCCCAGTCGATAACTCAATTAAAGTCCCCAATCACTCATGCCCGGGCACGGCTCATATTTGAAGGCGGGGCGTGCGTTTGAGCCACTGTTAGTATATCAAGTGCATTATTGTTATTTCCCATTCGAAATTGCAATACACCAGACCTTGTTGGTTAGCGAGGTACCGGCATATACATAGCTCACCTCTTTGCTCTCCTAGACCTGATATATCCATTCTCCACATAGAACCTTTCCTTCTCAAATTGGAGGTCTTTTGGAAGGATAATCTTCATTCAAAAGAAGCAATGGCGTCCTCCTCCAATCCACAAAATGGCATGCCTGATGAAAAGTCCATAGAAGTAAGTTACTGCCCGTTTTACCCTTCCACCCTTCACCTTTATCTCTATCCCCGCTGCAAATTTCTGTGGAACAAACTTCTTATGCTAGCATGACCGATTATACTTGGGTTCGACGTCCAAATTACCATCTCAATCATTCTCATCGAAACTCATATAACATAAGCTGACTGTATACTAGGAAAATACGAATGGTCTAGCTATTGATGAATTGGCTGTGTCTGACTCAGAATCAGCTTCAGCTGTTTGGAAGAGCGCATCCAAGTGGCTTCCTCGACAAAATGATGATTGCGACTTTTGGTGGCAGTCAACCGGTCCCCAACTTGATGCCCTACTATTTTATGCTGGATACAGTGTCACTCAGCAGTATGGGGGCTTGCTCTTCCACTACCATGTTCAGTAAGCTCAATTTAATAGTCACGTCTTTTGTTTTCACTACTCGCCTCTGCTCCCCGATGTTAACCTAAACCATTGTGTTTCATGCCATGTACTCTCTAGACTTCCCCACACAACATCAATATCTTACTTTACCCATTTGTCTTCGAACCCTGATTCTTGGTAGGTGAAACTGGCTCCTTGATCCTGCAGTGTACCACGCCTCGGTCCTCGCCCAGAACCGTCTTCCATCTCTGGCGAGTCACCATACAAATGGAAGTCCTTTATGCAAGACGACTTCAAATCAATCGAATACAATTGGAAATGGGATACTGGAAAAATGTTGTCGAATGGAAAAATGTCGAAGCCTGATCTCAGAATAGTCATCAAGACAATTGGTCCGCTCACTGGAACAACACAGGATCCTCTAAACCAGGTCGCCACAGGAGAACTTCTTCGCGAGCTAGACTCCGTAAACACAAAAGTAGACTTGACTTGTTTTCACCAAGTTTCTCGTGCCATATTTGAAGAAGTCGATGTTACTGAAGCCAAGGATCATATCCAAGCAGCAGATTTGGCTGATGTGGGCTGTTCATCAATGTTTCTTGCGTTTCAATTCCTCAAAGGCGACCCCAAGAGCGATTCTCCCATCAAGGTCTACTTCATGCCACCAGGATGGGCAAAGTCGCAAGGAACTGACAATCAAGCCCATGAAAAAACCGTAGCAGCTATTCGAAGCCTCGGACCGAAAGATAAGCATGAATGGACCACGCTAGATCAATTGTTGTCGTTTTTCAATGACAACGAGAATGGAAGACAATTATCTACACCTTTCATAGTCGCAACCAATTGCATGATATCCTCAAAATGCCGACTAAAGATATATGTTCGCACGCCCAGAGCTAGCTTCGATTCTGTTGTAGATATTCTCAGCATGGGAGGAAAACGAGCCGGATTCGAGAAGAATTTCCAGGAACTCAAGGATCTTTGGCGCTTAACTTTTGACCTTCCAGAAGGCTTCTCAGCCTCGGAGGATCTATCTCTACGAGAGCACGGTACCAGTGGGATGTGCTATCATTTTGAAATCCACCAAGCAAATGCGCTTCCAGACGTCAAGCTGTACATACCAACCAAGCACTACGGACAGTCAGACATGAAGGTTGCTAGAGGACTCACCAAGTTCCTTGAACTTTATGGGAGAGGAGCCTATGCAGCTGACTATATGAAAGCACTGAAGCAATTGGCACCTCTCCATCAGCTTGAGTCATCTTCTGGGGTTCAGTCGTACATATCTTGGGCTTTGGAAAAAGAAAGCTTGAGCCTCACGACCTACTTTAATCCTTGCATCCCGTTGGGAGATTAAAGGTATTGTGTTGGCAAATTGATTATTTGTGGAATGGAGAATTGGTTGATAGTGACGGAATTTCATAACGACTGAATTATTCATATAAGCACATGCGAAATATGATATGTGATCGCATGCGCTAGATTGTTGCTTACTTTACTTAGAGTAGAGGAATTAGATGGATCCTTTAGATCAAAGCATCTTTCAAGAAACTTGTATCCATCTATTTCAGTCTACTGATCGATCGATGTTTGCTTCTCTTCCGGCTGCTATGTGTTCGTGATTGTATTATACCATGATTGACACCTTCGTCGCATGTTATATACCAGACAATGAAATCAATCTTTGAAGCATTAATTCAGATAATATAATATTTCGTTCGCTACATAGGAAGAAAATAAAATTACAAAGGGTATCAGGAGATGCTTATGCTCTCGACTCGGTTTAGAAATAAAAGCTAGATATTATCTGAAGAACGAGGCCAACAAAGCAGGCAGGTACGATTGATCACATACCCGTGTTCGGGAAGAATGAGGTATCAATGGCGCTGTTATGTCTATTTGTCAAGATACATGGGGTGGTAGTGATGTATGTCGTTGTTTTGAAGCACCTGTTTGTCATTTCCATGCACCGCTAAGTCGACCATCGTGGCGCCTAGCTGGACAATTCCAACCGACAAAGAGTTACCAAAAACGCATTGAAGTATTGTCGCACTTCTAGGTAGCACTCCTCCTGGCTTGACAAGATAAACCTTGAATGTACTCTGAATGCTATCCTCCGAACTTTCCAAGACCCTTGCCTCTGCTGCACCTCTAATTCGCCGTCCATTGGAAAAGTACCACAGAGACCTTTCTTTTTGACCTTCTTCTGAAGGTGGTTCGGTGAAGGCTCCGCCGAGCTGAACATATCGAAATTGTGGTGACCCAAGAGGTCGTGCCTGTATGCAATTGATAAACGTGAGGGGAAATTCAATGTCGACTCTCTCGTCGCCATTATATGTGCCCAAACACCAAATCGCGGCATCGGCAGTTTTCAATTCATTGATAGTAAATTCATCATACGAGGTGAAATCGTTGACAACTATTACTTTGACTTTGGGGTTTTCGGCCATGGCTTGGAGATTCCGGCGTGTGAGAAGTATAATAGAAGTTATGTATGGATGATTCAGGCATTGGGAAAGAACTTCATCCCCAATGTACCCTGTACTACCAGAAATAACCACCTTCATTCTGAAGTTTGGAATTTATAGATGATGATAGACTGGGATGGTGTCTTAGTAGCACGCGATGTGTTTTGCCGAAAGAACTCGTTATACCAGCTTTGATTGGTATTTGGTAAAATGAATGAAGAAGAGGAAGTTGATCAAATACTACTTGAAGATGTGGTGGTGAAGGAAATATATAGGTTTGAGATTGGATTGCCGAGATTCAATCCTCAGTTATGTTCGGTGGAGAATGGCGGTCGAAAGGTGTAGCCGAGAAGTAAGACAACACCTACGTTGCTTGAATGCCTATTTATTCTCAGCCCCCCTTTTGATTTCATTGAGATGCCTTTGTATTTTCCAGGGTTCCGATTCTTTATTTTTCATGACCCAACAGAAAAACTTTGCGATTGAGAGAAAGATACTATTTCGTTTAGATCACGTGAGAGAGCCGAATTATTCTCCTCCAATTTGGCCTTATGATTGGCGCAGAGTAAGCAGCAATGCTCACCTCTTCACTCAGATTGACTGACTGTGAGCTTGATTCAGTGACTAAATAATGATTGCTAGTGAATCTACCGGCCTCGAAATACAGAAATCTACGGCTGGTATCGATGTTTATTATCAAGATGCTTGGGAATATAATGAAATCAAATTAGAATGATTGGAAGGTTGGAAGGACTTCCTGCCAGAATGATCCTAGGGTAGCATGTTAAGGCAGCTTTGCAGAAACAAGCGTAGCCGGCATCGAAAGTATTGTATTCATCATGGGTTTCATACTCGTGAGTGTTTTGTCTATGCATTGTCTTTGTTACACAGACATAATTATCAAGAGTGATGATCAGATTTATCCCCCTTTTGAAGTGAACAGTGCAACTTTAACCCCGTTGCGGCTCTCAGTGATCATTCTTACCATCTCGACATGCTCCAAAACAGTATCTCTGTTTTTAATCCTAGCAAATCTTCTTGTCATTCTGACGAGCAGATATACAGACTGCGTAAGGACCTGTTGTTGGGCAGGACAGATACGAGGACCACCCAGAAAGGGAGTAAACTCCCAACCCATTCTTTTATCGTTAAATCTCTGTGGCTTAAATTCATCAAAATCATCACCCCCTGTGGTGTTGGAATGTTAGTAGCTTTTTTCATCACAAATGATCATAAGAGTAAATGGGACCCGATCAAGTTAGAAAAAGATGACAGGCACTCTATGAATAAAATCAAGGGCTAAGCAATACCCGAAAATATCTTTATCATGATTAGGACCCCAGATATTTAAAGCGACCACGTTTCCCTACTCTACAAATATAGGGGATTGTCCGTCTGGGCCACCGCCTACCGGAAGAATTGTGTTCTTAAGCGCCAGACGCTGAGGACGACCCGCAGGACCTTGAAGACGAAGTGTTTCCTGAAGAACGTTTCTAAAAGAACGTAGTGATTTTAAGGACTCAAAGGTGGGAGGTTGGTCACCGAGCCTGATACTTTCAGCTCGAAGTTGGGTCCATATCTCTGGATTTCTTACAAGATGAAACAAACAATTCGCTATGAGTACAGAGGTTGTATCGTTTTCTCCTTGGCAGATCCCTTATCAAGCACTCGTTTGACATGTGCATCAACATACGCGTAAACCTTCCCGGTATCCCTTTTCCAACTACTGTCGAAGTAATAGGTAGATTGGAGCTTTCCAGCTAACCGCCTTTTTCCAACATCCGCAAGGGCGCCATTGAAGGCCTTCAGTAAGTCTTTAGAATTATTTGGGTCATCGGGCAGTTGTGCATCGATGCATTGCCCAAATAGAAACTCGGTCGAGAGATCAAGAAACTGAAGCATATCATGTTAATATTCTATTGATCAACTCGCTATGTTTGTCCTTACCAAATTATGTAGTGGCTCTCGAAGATTAATTTCGCTCCCATCGCTTGGGATGAGATCAAGAAACCTATCGACGTGGAAACCAAGAGTGTCCATATCGGAAACTTCAGCCTTCGAGAAGATATGCTTTACAATGTTCCTAGAATGTTTCCACTAGTCAGATCAATTAGCATCTATTGGCAATGAAAATGTTAGGTATTGGCGAACGTACCGCTTTACCATCTAGAGAGGACTCCATCACCAAGAAATGCCTTGAAGAAGTTTTGAGCTAGCTTTCCATAATTCCCAAAAGAAAGAGCACAAACTCGCTGTATATTGCGAACTTCTATGGTATTGATAACTCTGGTGCCAAAGAAAATTTCCTCGAATGTTTTTCTGATCTCGCTGAAGTGTTTCATGAACAAGGCCATTTGACAGCCTTCACCAACAGCCTTCACTCTCTTCTTCATCAAGTCTGTGCCCCATACTGAATTCCGATAAGGGTATTTTAAAACTCTTTTACAGCCATGCTACTTAGCAGCTGCCCTCAAAGCACAATAAGAATTCCATCTTTGACGGAAATATACAACTAGACTGACACAAACAGTATAGAGTAGAGCGCTTGTTACGGGGTGCATGGCCATAGATCTCAAGATCGAATCGAATATAAACGCAGATATGTTCAAGAGAAGCAAGGAGAGAAAACTACTTTCCAGAACGAAAAACTGGGAGATGATAGAAAGCAAAATTTGTACTATTCCAACAATATGACCTGATATAGCATATTGCATAATCAGAATCGACCTCCAACCCGGATTTAGAACGTGTGTAGTGTTAACTTTTGTTAGTAGTCGTGTCTATGCAAGTTTCCACTCAGAAAGTCGATAATGACATCCAAATCCTCTGCGAACAAGTCAAATCCCTATAGAGAGTTAAATGACTACAAAACTCAGGTATAATTGAGGAGGATATAAGTGATTCATGACCAGACGACGCAATTGTATTGTTGAAGTTGGAAATGCACAGTATTGGAGAATATGGTAGAACAGATTTACATTTTGACGTGCTGAAATTACTAGATAATTCCAACAGATATCCAACAACATTTACGAATACGTGCCCCACAGATAATGTATTGTGTGTGTAATTGTTGGTTTCTTGTAATATCTTACAATGAGCTTTAGACGTTGTAAGTGGTTGAGTTGTTTTATGCATGTGCTGCAAATGATGCGATGTATGAATGTGCAAACGGTGGGAGGGGGAGGAAGGGAAAGGGAAAGGGATTCGGCCGGAGTACGCAATTCCAACTTGGAATTTCTAAGTCGATAAAACCCAAGCGAACATCACTATCTGTTTGTACTGATAATCTTGAATGGCGGACCACATTTCATTGCTGTAGGAACTGATCTCTTTAATAGGTTTGAGATTCAGAAAAAGAAGTATGGCACTGGGCGGCGTTGACCAAGCATAAGCTGCCAAAATACTTATGTAAACCTCACTCTTCCGTGTCCTATATGTGAATGTTCCGATATGAACCAATTCAATACAACAGAAATAGCAGATGTGTAAGCCAGTCGGATGGAACAAGTAGAAATACCTTACTAATACTTGGATTGCGAAAAGCGGGCAAAAGACATCTCTAGTGTGCATAGACCTGTATTATATGAACTCTTCATCTACCTTACTTTTGGGTGTAATACGGGATGAGGTTCGAATGGGCATCATGCTTGACGAGGTTCATCTATGCTACACTATGAGCGGGACTTGAAGATAGAGGGGTCATGGATGGGGGTGGAACCACTCAGAAAGTTAAGATGAGAGTACGATGTAATAAAACAACCAGAACTGTATGTGAATTGTATTTGATGCTAGACAACTGCAAGCAAACTGAACCTAACCATGCTTTGAGGGAGGCAACTATACCAGCACTTAATTTCATGACTACTCTTTGAGTGAATGGAAGGAAGCAAGCCCATAGTTGAGTAGGTAATAATGAAGAGTACATACTACATACGAAGCAGAACGTAGTGCACTTTGTCCTGCGCAGAGGGGATATTATATTTTGCTAATTCCTAGTAGTACACAGAAGACCTATTTCCAGATTTTGTTTCACTCCATTCCATTTTGATCCCAATTGTCATAATCATCTCAAGCCAAGCAAAAACTTTCCACCACCTTCTTTGCCACCCTCACCACCGCCGGGTAAGTAAGTGACATTAGGATTGCTTGCTAAGGTCTGTGCAATCTCCCTGCTAGCCTCGATTCTTCTAATCATAATCAGACCATCTCCTGCCTTCGCAACAGCCTTGCTAATAGTGTCTGCACTCTCGGCTTCACCTTCTGCACGGATAACGTTGGCCTGTCTTTCCTGCTCTGCCTTCTCGACAATGAATCTCGCTCTTTCGGCATCTTGTTGAGCAATCTGCTTTTGTTCAACGGCGCGAGTGAATTCTTTCCCGAATGTCATATGGGTGATTGAGACATCTTCAAGCGCAATGTTGAATTCTTGGGCACGCTTGAGGAGATCTGATCGAATGCGGTTGCTGACGGCTTCACGCTGGGTGATGAGTTCAGCAGCATCAAACTGAGCGACGATGGATTTAAGGACTTCGTTTCCGATAGAGGGCAGAACTCTCTCATCATAATCTTGACCCAAGTTCTACTGTGAATTAGTGTGACGTCGGCTTAAGATGGGGAGAGGCGACAAACCTGGTAGATCTTGGGTAGCTGTTGGACCTCAGGTCTATGTAGAACTCTCAAAGTCAAGCTGACCATTTGCAAGTCCTTACTTCCAGTGGTCGTTGAGATGTTTCTTGGTTTCGTGCGTACATCGTAGATAATACTTCTTTGTAACCAAGGAATCAAAAAATGTGTACCCTCATTGACGACTGTTTCCTTGACTCCGGATAAACGATCGAAAATAACTGCTCGAGAGCCACCCTTAACATCATATATGGAGGACTGAACGGCCGCAGTTGCAATTCCCAAAGGAACGATGAACTTGTAGAGGTTATTTAAAGATTGCGCCATCTTGAATATTGTCTATGGGTGGTGGAAAGGGAGATGTGCGGTAGGTACTTTTTCGAAGGCGGGATATCTAAAAGCTCCAGTGCGGAGGGGAGGCTCATTGCAGCTTGACATTTTTGGAGGAATCTTGCGCTAATGATGATTGGGTGAACAAGACAGGGGTGTCAGATGAATGCTTGGCGATTATAACCCGATTGCCCGACTTCTATTTAGAATATTAGAACTTCTGCTTTGACGAATAATACCGAACAATTGAATCTGTTGGCACTTCGCACATTATTCAAAATGAGACCTTCTTCAATTCTTAGATCTGGCGGCGATGGAGAGATTGGAAAGTACGGAAAGTGAGTATTTCCAACAAGATTCCTAATGCGAAGAAGGAAGAATCTTCACGGGTCTTCACGGGTGGCCAGACAATTACATGAGTGTGGGAGGGTTATGGTTTTCAAGATGTATGGCATGCTGATTATGTTACTTTACAGATATCTTGGTGGCTGGGGTAACTTGGGTGAGTTTGAAGAGCATTTCCTACCAGTACTCGACATTCTGGAATCCCCGCACAAATCACTCGACACACACGAACCTCGCGAGATGCTGAAGGGGGATCCAACCAGTAGAAGAGGATGAAGGAGGTATTAATCAAGCGCCGAAAACACGAGATTGATCAGGCGTTATCGAGCAACGAGGAGGAACAGTTTGACTGATGTGGGATATACAGGCTCCCAACCCCAGAAGGGTGTCGCATCATACGCACTCAGTGCCAACCGACAACGTCCTCTCGCCGGCGCCTTGAACGCAGCTATCTTCAACACCTGGAGACGATTCCGTGGCCAAGTCCTCTATGTTGCACCACCATTTATTATCGCATACACTGCCATGGAATGGGCTATTGAGAGGTTTGTCTTACTGTCTGTGATATCGCAAAAGTGCATTGCGTTCTAATTAGCTTTGTAGAAACGAGTACTTGAACTCCAAGCCAGGCAGATTGGAGGTTGGTGGCGAGGAATAGAGCTTGGAAAGCACATGACCAGCATGCTAAGCATTATTTGGTGTTGGACCTTTCCTGATCCTCCAAACCGAAGAAGTTTGGTGGCTATGCGAGATTCAAGGAACAAATTGGGGTGTAAAGTATTAGATTGGGATTTTGCAATGCATCATGGTTTCTAAAAAGTGTTTCTACGCAAGTCACTAGGGTGTGAGTTGTGCTATTTGTGAAAGCATTATGATACGGTGATTTGGACATGACTTTTGAGGCCGAGAATAAAGGAGGACATAATATTACTTAAAATTCACGTATCCGTGAAGTTCTCAATATTGGCCAAACCTTTGATAGTGTTATAACATCATTTTGGCAATTGCATTCCACCACGCATGCCCAAGTCATAGCTTTTCGAGAGTTTTTGAGAGTTTTTATAGCAGCTCCCGATCTAGTTTAGTGCGAATTGACCCGCCGAACATTTTGTAAAAAAAGTTCTGAACCCTCAAGCTCTGATTTCATCGCAAAACAACAAATTTGTCCAATTAACACCACCAACAATTTTGTATTGTACATTGAATATTCTTTCCAAAGTAAAAGTTTAGGATATTCAAAATGGGCAAAGATAAATCCGAGAAGCGCGACAAGAAGGAGAAGAAGGAGAAGAGAAGTGAAACCGATGGTGTTAAGAAATCTTCCAAGAAGGTCAAGAAGGTCAAGCTCAGCGAAGACAATGTCGCTGCTGCCATTGCCGAAGTTACCAAGGAGCCAGAGAATGTTGAGGTCATGGATATTGTGATTGAGGAGGATAAGGAAGGTGCAGCTGCCGAGATCAAACCAGTAGGAGCTTTGGTTCCGTTCGCAAACCCATTGGCCGATGAAAAGGTCGCAAAGAAGGTGCTCAAGAGTGTTAAGAAAGGTACATCAATTCGCTCTTTCCTTTTTTCAATTGTTGCGTAGTCCTCATTGTGGACGCAATTTCGCGATGAAAAATACTGATTGTTGTTCGTAGCTGCCAAAAACAAGACTCTTAAGCGTGGTGTCAAGGAAGTCGTCAAAGCTCTTCGCAAATCTCCTCAAGGTGCCAGCAATACCGTTTTCCCAGGTGTCGTTATCCTTGCTGCAGACATTTCGCCAATGGATGTCATTTCTCACATTCCAATTTTGTGCGAAGACCATAACGTACCATACATCTTCGTTACCAGCAGAGCCGAATTAGGAGCAGCAGGTAACACCAAGAGACCTACGAGTGTGGTAATGGTTACAGAGGCGAGATCGGGCGCAAAGAAGGCCGAGAAGATCGAGGGCGAGGAAGAATTCAAGGAAGTCTACAAGGATTTGGTCAAGGTTGTGGAGAAGGAGGCCAGGAATGTTAGAGTCTAAAAAGAGTGGTTTTGAAGAAAAACAAAAAACTTTCTGCATATGGGTTGGCTACAGATACACTTTTCGGCTGTATCATATTAAGAGCATGTCTTAACGTGCTTGGACATTACAATGGCGTTTGTGAGTATGGATAGGGCTAGGAATAAAGAAAACATTCAATTTTAATTCAACCTTTGTGTAGAATACATGCATGGAGAAATTTGGGTGCTTTCAACAGCTTATTTTGCTAAAGTCCCGCAGCTTCATATTGTTTACAGTACGTACTGACGTGCGATGCTCTGCACACTCGAAACCCTCAAATTTGATTCTCTATCTTCGCCCTTGCTCTCGATCAGTTACCAGTGGATGGCGAGAGAATGTCATGTTCTTCTGCCGTATAGCCTGCCTTGGTAGTTTTCTCCTCGACCGACGAAATTGGACCGACACCATCATAGCCACGAGTGTCTGAGCCAGCCACGCTGCCATCATTCCAATCTCCCAATGATAATCGACCGACAGTCTGAGCTATCGCGAGTTCCATCACTTCGCCTGCATCTGTCCCCTCTTTCTCCCCATGCACACTTGCCTCATCCTCTTGCTTTTCGTTCTCAATACTTTCTCCCTCTCCAAGAAATATAGTTGAGGATTCTTCGGTCATCTGCGTATGCTTCTTTCCTTCCGATGATGATGAGTATTCCGTACTTGTTCTCAAAATTGCCTGCTCATCATTATGCAATTTTTCACTTTGCGATTCCTCCTCCCAATCCCCATCATAACCACGATCAATGTCCGCCTCCGCTTCTCGCAGATCCTCTCTCCATCCTTGCATCTTCTCAGTCTCCTCTTCTATCGCATCGAGAAATATTCCCACCGCATCCATCTTCGAACCTGTTGGTGCATCACTATCTAGCTTATCTAGTAGTGTCTTCTTTATCTTCGCAGAATATTGGAGCTCTTCCCTAAGCTGTGTGTCTCTTCTTGGTAAATCCAATAGTGTTTGTTGAGCTAAGCTTCGATTTTGTTGTTGTATGCTTTCTTCCACTGCTCCCAGTTCTGCAGCATCCAAAATTGCCAATCTCTGTCCTAAATCAACCAAATCAATATGAGTATATGGTCGATTCTTGCTCGTAATATAACCAGAATTGGTGTCTTCTAAGTCTTCTTCCATGATAGTATCAATCTTGAGGCCTGTAAATGTGTTGCTATCCCGGCCAAGCCCTCCAACCCAAGAAGCCGACTCGTTTTCTTCGACCTTAGCTTGCGGAAGAGACGGAAGAGGTGCTGCGACGCTAGCTTCAATGGCATTCGGTGTGTCGGAAGACTTTCTTGCAGAATACCAGAATCTGGAATCTTCCAGTTCTTGAGGAACACTACCATGCCCAGTTGGACGTGGTTCTCGGCCCCAGTACCATGTTGTAGATTTGCCTGGTTGTACTGAAGTGGTATCTTCCCAGTCGGTAGCAAACATGTTTGTCTTGATTCGAGGTGCGATATTTTCATTTGTCGGATCATTAGAAGGTAAATCTGGAAGTACTTGTTGTGCCTTGTCTTGTTCTATAAGAGGAGGTCCAATTCCTGTTTGAGGAGAAGCTTCTGGGCCTGTAGTGGTACAGCTATCAGAGAGTTCTTGAGAAGTAACATCCTGATGATCAGGAATGCCGTTTATAAGTATTCGAGGAGTAGGATGCTGATCAAGCGTATTTTGTTCAACCGGAAGGCTGCTCGACACTACGCGAGGAGCAGTTTCTTGAACAGCGGCGACTTGGCGTTGTTGCGAAATGCCATTTAAGAAAAGATCTGTACTCATTCGAATTTTCTCTGCCGTCACCTCCGATATTTTGGGCTCCTGCGTTGGATAAACCCATTCTAGTTTGCCCGTCTGAGGCCAGAATACCAATCGTTCTGGTTCTCCGCCATATGCGATACCTGCATCTCGCAGCAAATTGACATATTGTAGACTATAGTCCGGATTCTGACCTGCCTCCATCAACTTCATCACGACACTCGACTGCACCTTCCGAAGATTCATCGTCAAATTCTCCATAGCCCCAGTTCTCCAAATCTGTTCCAGGTGTCCCCATCCATCTCCATGCAAAACCCACTTCTTGGCCATGCCCCAGCGCTGATCGAATCTAAGTTGCTCTTCGACGACTCGCAACCAATAGTTCAAAACCCCCGCACATTTCTTTACTTTTCCCAGCCACTCCTGTGCTGCGATCTGTTGAGCACAAAGTTCGTCGCTTTGCATGTAGACACTTCGTCCCGGTTCTGTCTTCATCAGTCCATCAACCTCCTTCACAACATCCATACAGCTATCCACGAAGAATTTCCGTGTTGGATGCGATCCATATGCAATCAACAACCATCTCAAAGCTGTTGAAGAAGTTACCGTCTGGTATTCCAGCACTCTTCCAAGTTGATATTCTTCCTGCTGACCGAAAATGGTAGTGATGTGGCTCGCAACGCTTAGTGAAGAGATAAGACCGCGCTCCAGTGCTTTATCAACATTGAATTTGAATTCTGGATAGTCTGTATTGGAAAATAGCTCTTCGATAAATATATGATTGAGCCATGTTGTGTTGAGAGTCTCTCCTTCGACTGGATCTGTCAAAAAAGTTACTAAAAAGGTTTGGGAGACAAGGTTAATTGCTTACCGAGCGTCGAAAAGGAGTTCTGATCTGTGGTAGAATTGTTTTTCTCCATGACTACCAAGTTTCTAGAAGAAGAGAGAAATTTGTATGATTTGTATGGATAAGCTCAAGAAAACTTGAGATTTTGAAAGAGATTTGAAATGTGCTTTGTAAAGTGATTTGTGTGAATATTTGTAAAGTGTAGGGATTGTGTTGACAAAGAGAGGATGGTTTAAATACTGCGACCAGATCGATAAATTTTCCGGTACACGTAAATATGATTGTTTGAGTTCAAGTTCACACAAAAGAATCACAGTCATAGACTATGTTTAAAGCTGTGAATAATAAATTATTTCGCTTGTTACAAATGCTCTCTTGAGTGAATGTTGGCTAGGTTTATTGCCCATCTTCAAACAAATCCTTTATGTCTGACAAAATGTCCTTGGGGCTCTAGTTTCTTTGAAGGAACCACAATCCTTTCTTCCACCACACCATTCTAGACCTGATCACTTCTGCTTTTTGGATCCCCATGAACAAGCCTCACAGTTCCTTTTCCTTTCCTTAGCCTCATCAGAGAGTTCCGATGCGAGTGGGCAACCTTTCGCAGAAAATTTACAACCTGCGGGACATCCCTTTCCCACTTTATGATTCCTGACTACTCTACGTGAAAGTGGAGGCCACGATGTGATTTCTAAAAATACTGATTAGCAACTACGCCTCTAAAGCCAATTGGACAGCGAAACAGATACTAACTTCTACCCCTACAGGTATGACGAGCATAAAAATCATATGCCTCCATGTCTTCCAATAAAGCTGGGGAGCTTTCAGATCCAGCAGCAGGAAGCTCAGGAGAATTTGGCGAAGAGACGCTCTCGTTGTCAGACTCATCGTGGGTGAGAGCCATGGTCGTAGCTGATCGGGAGTCTTGTTTGACGAGAATTATCTAGACGACTGGATGCGTCCGAATGTATTTGAATACTGTGCGACAGGAGAGGAGGGGCTCAAGAATAAGGTAGTCAAAGAGACAGATAGATACCAATAGGAAAGCTAGTAACAAGCCAGACACGATCATTGGAACGAGACGAGGCCGGCGGGTGAGTAAGGAATCGCTGAGATATAGATTCAAAGAGATTATTAGATGTATGTAAGTTATGCGCTGTTAATATATGATATATTTTATATGATGTAGAGGAGAAGAAGAAAAAAGAGGAAGAGAGGAAAAGATGGATATTTAAACAAATGGATACACATCGTTGTTTCCTTCTCTCATAAAGATAGTTGACACAATACTCTGGGCGAGGCAAGAGCGGGGGTCAGGATCTGCATGCGAGAGGGGAAAGAGACCCTAAGGTAAGATGCATCTGGTGAGATACTCTTTCCTCGTATATCTTTTATACAATTTCATGGAGAATGAAACTCTGGATTCAAATCCGTGAAAAGACCTTTCTCTGCTTGAGTCTATTTAACATGTTCAAATTTGCGGAAATAACGAGCACTCTTATGCATTACAAGATCCTATCGAGATACACAGTTACTCTCAGAGACAAAAACTCGCATCGATTTTTCTACTTCAGACCATCGAACACCCAAATTGAGAAAGCACATACAGTGATTAATTTTCCATTGACTATGTTGTGAGGGGTATTTTAACATTGACGCCTACCATGCTCATCCCAAATCCCCTAAGCACCTGCTGCCCTCGCTCTAGCCTTCCTCGACTTCTCAAACCCTTTCATGCTACGCCTGGGTCTAGCTTTAGTTTTCGTCTGCGGCTTAGCATTAAGTATCCATGCATTCATAGGTCTTCTAGCAGCGATGAATTTGCCCTCCGGAGTAAAAACTTCTACCGATGGCCATGCTTTTTCGTCCGCTGCTTCCTCCTCATCTCCCCATCCCCAGGCGGTATCATTTACAGTATTACTTTCGGCTGCATTTCTCTTCACGAGACGTCTTTTGCTAACCTGGGCCACCAACTCAACCCATCCACACCCCTCGATCAAAATATCTGTAGAAAGAATTTGAAACGGGAGTTCATCCACTTTGCTTTTGTCAGTCAATACAGTGGAGCTTGACTTCAAACGCGCCTTCGTAACATCCCATTTTAGAGGGAAAATACCAGCCGAAGCGATCTTCTCTTCACTTCCGGCAATTGTAATGTTATCAATAAATGGCTCTCTACCTTTACTTTGCATAAGGATTGCCTTCTCTGTAGACGTTAGATGCGCATCAGGTTTTATTGAAGTGAAAGCATAAGCCATCATAATGATGTCTGGATCTGTGGGTGTAATCCTGATAAGACCACCGCCTAGTACTAATGACTGGCCGGGTTTCATCACTTTTTGTTCTGGCTTTATCCGAGATTTCATTACCAACGAATTTCGATATTCCGGTTGAACATGAAGCTCAAGTTCACCTCGTGATATTCCGGGAAGATCGATGAGTTCTCCCTTTCCATTGCCAAACGGAACTCGAATGGGTGATGCGGTAGTTCCAGGAAGGGATGACACGAGTGGCATTGATGGATACGCCGTTTCCTGTTGTGCCGGGGGGAGAAGTGACATTGTGTCATTCGATTCATCATCAGGCAGTTCATTCTCTGACAAAGCCTTATCCACCTTTTCTGATTCTACTCCCATCGCTTTGAAGGTACCCATTGGCAAAGTAGCCTCAGGGGTAATATCGTTACCAATATTTGCACCTATCGATGGAAGTCCTCCGATAGTGGTTTCTTTCGTCTCTCTTCTATCTTCTACTGCATACACTGGAAGAGGTTCTCCAACAAATACCTCATTCCCACCCCTCCCCTTTGGAAAGATCTCATGGAAAAGCCGACTCTTTCCCACATTGACCTTTCCAACCATCCAATTTCCCCCTCCCCTTTCAAAAACATCCTCCTTCAAGTTTTTCGTCCACCATCCCCTTTCCGCACTAACACATCTAACATTCCCCAGGCGAACTCCTTTTCCCGCTCTCCCTAACGCATCCCTCAATACACTCGTTAAATACGGCATCATCCCATCAACCAGCGTTTTAGTTGGAGCTAGAAGGTCCGACCGGGTGATCACAAAATCAATTTCCATCTTCCTATCACCGTAGAATTTTCCTGTTCTCGAACGACGATTGTGGGACCGCTGGGGAGTCAGGTTCAACGTCTTGTTTAGGGCGGGTATGAAAGACATAGGGAAGTCGGCGGCGTCTATAACATGATATATATGATTGTATTTGTATGGAGATTCATCAATCGTTTGCTGAAGTGCTCGTATAGAAGGATGATATATAGAAACACCTGTTTGGTGATTTTTGAGATTGTGACATCGATCGCAAACTGGCTGTTCTATGGATGTAGTCGCAGACGAAGGGTTTTCCATTCCCAAAGTCTCGAGAATCGTACTATCGACATTTTCCAGAGCCTTTTTGACTATCTCATCTTCTGCCGTGGCTTTTGTATTTTTCGCCGAGTGTGAAGTCCCCAGAAACTCCTTAACTGATCTCCTCGTCAACGAATAATAGCCCGCTTCATCTTCGACTGTCGTCTGTGATAAGGCACCGCATCCAGCGCATTGTGAAGGTAATCTCGCTACAGCTTGCGCTGAAGCAATAGAAGAAGATTCCGGTGCATCTCGGTCCTGAGCTTGAGCTTGCGATTGGATATATCTTCGCTGTATCCTAACACTCTTTCGCGGTTGATTATGTACCAGCTTTGGGGATTGCCGATTTCGCGCAAGTAACGGGCAAAGAAAGATGGGTATCTCAGCGACCGCGCATTCGGCCTGCTTTGAGAATCTCAGGGCAAGTCTTCCATAGTTAGAGAGTGGCATATCAATTATCGAACGGGCGCGTTGTGTTTAAAAATGATCGCGAATTCGCTGGACATTCATCCCACCAAAAAATAAATTTGGTCGGAGGTCGGAACTTTTTATCGACAGGGGGTCAAAATCCTAGTCTCAAAACCTCAGAAATATATTCACAAGTCAAGCTTCCTCCGAACCTCACCCCACGATCTCATACAGTGTATTTCATTTATTATATTGAAACTTCACATATTCAAGATGGTTAACTTACTAAAACGGATGGCCAGGCTTAACTCTGTAAGTAATCATATATCTCTCTCGCAATGGTCGCAAATGCTAACAGAATTCGCATTATAGAAGGTAAAGATTCCCCCATAAATGGTATTCATTATGTGAAGATTCGAAATTGACTTTCCTGCTTCCGCGCAGTTACTCGGCATAAGATTAGGACCCGGCGCAGCAATTCTCCCACCAGAAGTTACCAGGATACATATGGATTTTGCTTTTGGACTGAACGGACATCTTGGACCAAGGTACACATCCCCTCCCCCTCCATCTACATCCCATCTTTCTTCCCAATTCCTCACCCCCCTCCCCTAGATATCAACCCCAAAAGCTAACTCTCATCCTCCCCAGGAAATTCTGGCGCAAGTGCCTTCCCCGCCTCAAATACCACAACCCCGCCGTTCCTATGACCGTCAACCGTAACCACGACACCTCCCTCCCCGCAACCCTCACCATCCACTTCACCGACGCCTCTCACGCCTCCTCTCCACCCCCCATAAACAGCACCGCTTCCAACCCCGCTACACCTTCTTCCCCCGGTGCTCCCACAGCGTACACCAAAACCATCGAATGCAAGCACCGCGACGACAACGCCATCCTCTTTGATCTGATGGAACTAACGAAGGCCAAGAAAGTTCTACCCACCGCAGCCGAGAAACAAATGTTGAAGGATTTAGCAGCAATGAAATTGAAGAGTCAACAGGATTCGCTGTTGAGTGCGGCTGTTAATGAAAAGATTCGGGCCGAGAAGGCGATTTTGGACCAGGCGAGAGGTGAGGTGGCTGCTGCTTCTGCCGATAATTAGAGAAGAGGGCGAGACAACGGCGAAATATAGTTACGGGGTGTAGAGAAAAATAGGAGAAATACGAGAACAAATGGGCATGGGTGTAGAATATGTTGTATATATACCAGGCGTTGAGGAGGAACACTCACATGATGGGAAAAATGAAAATCAAAATGTTTAGAAACGAGCATGTTAAGGTATTTGATACATCAC